CCACGAGTAACCAATTCCGTGCCATGTTCAAATGTCACGCCTACTCTGGCTCAGGGATAAAGAGTGTAGATATACAGTTGTGTTTCGCATTATTTGAAAAGAAAGTCCTCTCGGAAATTTTGCTGTGTGCTACAGTTTTTCTATTGATATATTTCTACAATCGTTGAAGTCGATGCTGATTCTTACTTCATTCACTTACTACTCAAACTGCACTACCCGTTTCTCAACCGGGTTTCTGCACCCCTCAAAACTTCAAAAGTTGTCGTATAGTTTTGTAACGGAGGTAGTCCACCATTACTTGATGGGTGAAGTCCTCCTCTTGTACAGGTATTCCGTCCGCAACTTCAGAGGCTGTCCCACTTTCGTGATTCTACACGAGAAAGTGGCGAGGGCGTCGCGGACGTCATAAGCCAAAGAAGCGCCACCTGTAAGACTTGCCCCCCCATTTGTGAGTGAGGTACGCAAGCGGTCCTATATTCATAAACGCAGACGTGACGTGTTGCGTTCATTGTATGCAGGGTTGACCTTAGTCGTCTCTCCCATCTACGAGCTTGTCTTCCTATGTCCTATCCTTTGCCCACGGCCTTCACCCGTGCCACTGCGTCACCCCTACTCGAATACTTGTTCAATCCTTGGGCCGTTCCTGTCCTTTTTGTGGACTTGTCCACTGTTTCTTCACTGATCGCCAGGGCACCTCCTACCTCTGGGGAAAACTTTCGGAGAATACGATCCCCATCTGAAAGTTCTTCCTTTGCTATGACACCCCCCCTCCCGTCCCATGGGGGAGGTGGGTAAGGAGATCGTCGCCAACCAAGGGCTAGTTTCAAATCTAGAAAATAAAGGGGTGTTATAGTAGTTCCTAAATAGGGGTGGAGGCAATAGCAACTAGAAAAACCACTCCCTCCATTGCCCCTTCCCAATATGAATCTCAAGCCGGTAAACAACGAAAGCAAACTATCAAAAAATCTACTCAGATCAACTACGACCCTCCTTCCTTCAGTGAGTAAACACAATTCCCCACCGCAGGGAGTTTCCCAACAACCGACGCGCCTCTGTTGGTCAGCCACTTAACATCTACGATTTCGTTTTTCAATCCCAAAACCCACAAATGGTACTCGCGTAGTTTTGAATAGCGGAAAGGCATCCTTCCCGGAAAAATTTCCACTGGATGGAGCATTGAATTGCCTACTTTCGAAGAGCCTCTGGAGTGGGTTCTCATCGAATATTCACCGGAAGACCCTAATTTTCTATTCAGGTTTCCATGGCGTTCGTGTACAACTTGCTGTTCGTGATCGCACGCCAGGTGTTCGTTGATCTGATTGGTCCAATAGGCGTGCCCATCTGTACGGTTACGACATCCATGTATCAGAATGCCACCGAAGAATGTAGCGATGATCAGTTGATGAACATGCAGGTACGCCCTTGTTTTCCTTGGTTTTGAAATGCTAAGAGGAAGATGTCATACTTGGATGAATATTGTCTCAGGAGAATCGAGCTTAGTCAAAAGACTAAGAAAAAGTCAAAGCAAGTTTCCGCTATTCTTTACATTCTGCTTCATTGCTTCATGTCCTTCAAAGACCGTTTTCACAAACCGTTACCTTTTAAAACGGTCGAGCGAGTTCTCATAGTGCCCTGGACATCAGCTGAAAACTTCTCGAGCGAAGAGTTTTGGATTGGCAAGAAGTACAAAGAACGTGTCCACGGGCGTGGTTGCGAGGACGATGGCCGTTGACTACTGTCAGCTCAGGCAAAGACGGAAACGGGGTCAATACTGCTACTCCGCTCCCTAGCCAGCAAGTGCGCTGCATTGAAGAGATGAGATCCGAGAGAAAAATATTCACAGACACGCAGTAATATTGAGCTCTTAGGGGCAACTAGGGCAGATCATTACTACATACACCCAAACTTACAAGAAAAGAGCAGAACGAAGAGACGAAAATGGGAGAGCAAAGCAGAGCGAGCATACGGCAACCTGGGGAAACGAAGAGTATCTAAAGTGAATTTACCCTCGACGATGCGGTCACTTGTGGTCTACGGCCTACCATGCCCACAGGTGGAACTGCTAAGGCTACCCGAATCAGTCAAGTAAATTCTAGGAGCCTAGAATGCAGTCCTTGTTTGATTAGTCTCGATAATCTTCCAAATTTCTCACCATCTATCCTTGGGAATGATTTAATCCGCAAAGTGCGCTTTCAGGTGATGCCCTCAACCGAACTATATCCCGACATGGGTTGGTCGCGTTGGTGGTGGACACGACTCCTATGGGCGACCCTTGATCTCATCATGGACTGCATCTACTGGCTTGATATCTTCATTCGCACCCGCACTGGTTCGACAGCGACTTAGACACTTCTTGAGGTTAAGAAATGAATTTACTCGCTTTTCAGGATTCCTTGAACAAGGTCTCGTCGTGAGGGATATCGACAAAATCAAAAAGCAATATTTCGAAGGAAAACAGTTTAAATACGATATAATAAGCATCATTCCCCTGGATTATGTATTAGGTACACCTTTTTATTCTACGGCAATCTTTCCTACATGCATAGAATGAGGCTTCCAGGGTGGCCATGGCCAATTCAATGGTTTCGACCGTTTCCGGTGGTCCGTTTGAATCGTCTTCTGCGTATTGACAGGGTGCAAGATTGTATGGAGAGAACGGAGACGAGGTGGAGTCATTGAGTAATTCGGTTGACAAAACTTTGGTACGGTCACTGCTCAAGGATCACCTTTTTAGGAGTTCGATGCCAAACGCCTTTCGAGTGCTTTGTGTCGTGTGGTACATCATTGTTATTATTCACTGGAATGCCTGCTTCTACTTCTGGATTTCGGAAATGATCGGTTTGGGATCAGACGGTTGGGTATACGGTCCACTAAATAAGCAGAGTCTGCCCGAGTAAGTTTCAACCCACAAACTGTTCTTGAGGCTCTCGGGAAATGTAATTCATTCAGGAATGTGAAGGACACCCTCCTCCGTCGTTACATCTACAGCTTCTACTGGTCGACATTGATTCTTACGACAATCGGAGAGGTGAGTGTGTTCCCAAGTTGTTCCTTCCTCGCTTTATATTAATCCCTATGTAGGTACCGTCTCCTGTACAAAACATTGAGTACCTTTTTGTAACGTTGGATTTGATGTGTGGAGTGCTCATTTTCGCTACCATCGTCGGTAACGTCGGCAGGTAATCGAAAC